AGAAGAAGAAGAAGAAGAAGAAGAAGAAGAAGAAGAAGAAGAAGAAGGGAGGAAGGAGGAGGAGGAGGAGGAGAAGGAGAAGGAGAAGGAGAAGGAGAAGGAGAAGGAGAAGAAGAAGAAGAAGAAGAAGAAGAAGAAGAAGAAGAAGAAGAAGAAGAAGAAGAAGAAAAACAAAACAAAAAAACAAAGCAAACCAAGGCCAAGGGCTGGGGATGTAGCTCAGCCATAGAGCCTCTTCCTAGCTTGCCCAAGGACTCTTCTTGGACATCAGGCACATTATGGTACACATGCATTTATGCAGGGAAAACACACCATACATAAAATACATACACAAAAAAAAGTTTGGAAAAGGAAAGCAAAGGGGGGTTCTTTAGAAATCATAATTATGGCCAAGGAAGTAACCTGACTACAGAGCACCCACACAGCCTGCTTGAGTGCTGGGTAACCCCCATCACCACACTGAGTAAATAAATCAATAGAACCACCATATATCCCAGAGACCCCACCCCTGGGTAGCTGTTAAATCAGTGTCTCGGAGCTGGGGAGATGGCTCAGCAGGTAAGAGCACTTGCTGCTCTTCAGGAGGACTCAGGTTTGGAAGTCTCTTGATGCCTGTAACTTCAGCACCAAGGAATCCCTTGCCCTCTTCGGATCTCTGGGTACCTGCGCACAAGTGGCATCACTAACAGACACAGGTCCATAAATAAAAAGAAGGAGTGTTAAAGTCAGTATCTCAAAGAGACACCGTCTCATATCTGCGGCAGCATTATTTACAGTAACCGAGGTGTGGGGACAGACTAAGGATCTAGCAATACTTGAGCGACTTATGAGAAGGATGCATATACACAGTGGAGTATCGCCTGCCCTTCAGAAACCAGTGCTGACGCATATCAGTGAGGCTGTTGGCACAGACTACATGGAGGCAGAAAGACAAAAAAATGTGTGCTCTCATTGATAGGTGGCAACCAGAAAGTCTAACTCATAGAGGCTAAGGGAGAAAGGGGTTGCCAGGGACAGGGTGGGGCGGCAAACTCTGGAAGATGTTCAGTAAAAACTGCTATTTAAAATTTTCTTTTCTTTTCTTTCCTTTCCTTTCCTCTCCCTTCCCTTTCCTTCCTTCCTTCCTTCCTTCCTTCCTTCCTTCCTTCCCTTCTTCTCCTTCTTTCTTTCTTTCTCTTTCTTTCTTTCTTTCTTTCTTTCTTTCTTTCTTTCTTTCTTTCTTTCTTTCTTTTTTGGTTTTTCTCCTCTGTGTAGCTTTGAAGCCTGTCCTGGAACTCACTCTGTAGACCAGGCTGGCCTCAAACTCACAGAGTTCCACCTGCCTCTGTGTCCCAAGTGCTGGGATTAAAGGTGTGTGCCACCACCGCCTGGCTCAATTTTGTTGGTTTTCATTTCAGACTTCTTGCTGTATTTTTCTCTTGAAAATTTGTGTGTAGAGTGTTGCCCAAATTTCTATGTTAATATGTAAGGTAACCATTGAATGAAAAGTATGAATTAACAATACGCAAAATGCTGAAGGAAAACACGTATTTTCATCATTCAAAGAAAAGCAAGTATACCTTTAGGCATGTATATATCTTTTTTAAAAATATGGCCTCTATCCTATGCACAATACGATTCAAGGACTATTTTATAAGTTTATTTCTGTTTTATTCCTTTTCTTTTTTAATTAAAATAATTGTTATAACAATTATTAGTGTGTATGTGTGTATGATGTATTTGTGTGATGTGTGTGTGGTGTGTATGTGAATGTGTGTTATGTGTATGATATGTGTGAATGGGAAGGATGTATGTATGTGTGTGATGTGTGTGTGAAGGATGTATGTGTGTGTGTGATGTGTGTGAGAGTGATATATGTGTGTGTAGGCAGAGAACAATTGGTTCTCTTCACCCCACCTTCACTTCTTGTGAGCCCAGCCTTTGTGACTGAGACATTTCTGCAATCCTCATTCCGCCTTTAGTTCTTAGTTCCAGGGATAGAACTCAGGCCACGAGGCTTCCAGTGCCCAGCAGCAAGCGCCTTCACCTTTGAGCCATCTTTGCCAGGCCCTTTCCATCTCCTTTAATGACAATGTGACTGAAGTCTCTAAAGAAACCACGTGTGTATGGAAGACTGACTGACTGGCCCTAACCTCACCATGGAGTTGGTCAGTAGAGACTTGCGCGGCTACGTATGAGAGTCAGCAGGACCTTGGGCTCACTTCAGTCTGTTCATGGCTCTTTGTTGCCAATCTATGTCTCTTCTAGTTTTATGACTCTTAGTTAAAACTTTTGAAATGTGTTATTATCTGACTATAGACTTTTACCACCTTTAAATCTAAACCTTGTAAGTTAGCCTCAGAAACCTCCAGAAGGGGCTTCACCCCGCACTGCTTCTGCTGTACCTGCTGTTTCATGTCCCCCATAGACGCGTCTCGTCAGTATGTTGATTTGGGCTTTTTTCACCATTCTGTGATCTTAAAACTTCACGGAATCTCTCTGAAGTGGGGTGTGTATGTGTATTTTCAAGTGCCCCGAGGCTGTGGTCCTTAGCTATGAAAACTTACGTTTGGCTTGGGAGAAGTGCTCTCCCGTTCCCTCTGGAACAAGACCTGTGTTTGCATGAACACCGTGTATCAGGAATTGTATGGAAGATTTTTTTGGACTTTTATCATGAATTGTGTGGAGGATTCTTCCATAGTTTTTAGATGTGGGTTTGTTTTCCCTTTTTTTCCCTCCTCTGATAAAAAGTCCTGGTGGGTGCATGGCTGTCTGTCAGGCCTTTTAATGTTAGTAGTGCTG